TGTACTGTACCAGGCCCCCAGAGCAGCCATTTATGTTTTGCCATTCCCCATGGCAGCCATTTTATGACTGGTGCCCACAGTACTCTCAAAATTCAAAATATGCCTACTGGTTCAAAAAGGTTGGTGTGCCCTGCTCTACAGCAGTAGAAGTAGCCTTTGTAGTCAGTCACGGCCCATTTGTTTTAGGCCAAAGAGAGAAACAGGAACCAGATCATGCAGGTTTCACAGCTTGATGGTGCCTAGGCACTTTCAGTGGATCTTCTTTGCCCTTGCTTCTCCAGATACTTTGCTTTTTTACTGTTGCTTAGAAGCGCATCATAGGCACATTGGCCAACAACACGATTTTGCTGTTTGTATTTGCTTATTAAAAGATAACTCACCTGCACTTTTGCACTGTTGGGTGTTATATGGAATGTTGCTTATGTTGTGGGACAATTGAGAAACAGGTTTTGATGTGAATGGTAGCCATTCTCTGTGCCTTTCTGTTGTTGTTTTATGCCTTTAAAAGTTTTTTAATATACCATGTTTGTACCACAAGAACTATGTGTGTATGAGCAACAATTGAAAAAGCTAAGGGAAAGCTTTTGGCAATCTGTAAAAAAAAAAAGAATACTTATATTTTCTCCACCCTTTTAGTACAATTTGGCAGAATGAAGACAATACTATAATAATCTAGAGGCAAGTGGCTTGATTTCAAAAGCAGTTTCAGGGACAGAAAACAGGTCATAAGAGGATAAAAAACTACTCCAAAACAATTCACAGTATACTTTTATTTTTTAAAAAAATCATATGTAGGTTCTTCAAAAAAGACACACAGAAAAACACACAGAGATGCCTGAAAGTTTTCTGAGTTTGGGCTTGGAACTAGTTCCCAGTTTACAAACATATCCACTCCAATCCCCCCAAGCCCCTCCTCTGCCTTTAAATTCCTCTTATCAGGCAGTACAGCTGAATGATGATGGCAGTACAACTAATGGTAATGCCCCTCCAGCTGCAAGAAGGAAGGTAGGAAATTGGATCTCTCCCTTCCCTTTCTGGCCAAATGCTAGATCAGCCGGGGAAGGGGCTGCTGCCATTAACTGGGAGAAGAAATGTTTCTCAAGGACCCTTGGGACTGTCTCTCCCCCGCAGCATGCCAGAAAGGAAGGAGAGGGTGTAGATCTTCCTTCCTTCTTCCTTCTTTTACTGTGGATTGAGTGCCAACAGGGGAGATATGGGGGGGGGGGGGCTAGGTGAGAAAGAGGGGACAGGAAACTTCTGAACTTAAATTGGTTTGGGAAATAAAGCAAGCTTTTCCTGACTTCTGCGGAAATAACTTGGACAGCGGTCCAAGCAGTTCAGTTTGATTTGGGCTGGGGGAGTTCATCTATCTCTAAAAAGAATAAAAAGTAGTTATTAGCACATTAAAAACTGGGAGAGCTCAGTTGGTAGCGCATGAGACTCTTAATTTCAGGGTCGTGGGTCCAAGTCCCATGTTGGGCAAATGATTCCTGCATTGCGGGGGGTTGGCTCCATGGCCCTTGTGGCCCCTTCCAATTCTACAATTCTATGATTCTGTTAAGGCCGTGATTTAGAGGAAAATGACATAACGACAATGGAGAATTACAAGAACTTTACTATCCGCATTAAACAATCGTATGAATGAGCCCTAGGTCTTTTTTTCTTGAGTGCTGAAGTCAAAGGGATCATCCTTTGATTTGTGTTTGAGCAGCACCCCAAAACAAAAAGAGGGAGGAAGGAACAGAAAGATGGCTTCTCTGCTTAACCTAACTTTGATGTTCTTCCATTTATTGATCACCTATACTTCCTCTTATCTTCCCTCCTTCTTTTCAGATAGTAAAAAAGAAGAATCCTAAACTTTCCCAAGGAATTGTTGACCACAAACATGTTTCTTTCATCAGTCTCATCATTTGTATCTTTACAGCAATCCTGTCAGGTTGTTTGGCTGAAATGCTGTGAATGAGGTTTGAGGCTGAGTGTATGTACCGTATTTTTTGCCCTATAGGACGCACTTTTCCTCCTACTTTCGCTGAAGCCTGGAGAGCGAAAGGGGTCGGTGCGCACCGACCCCTCTCGCTCTTCAGGCTTCAGGAAGCTATCCTCAAGCCTTGCGAGCCCGGCAGGAGTTCCCGCCGGGCTCGCAAGGCTTGCGGGCGGCAGCCTGCAGCCCGAAGCACGGGGCACGCTCCGGAGTGCACCCTGGGCTTCGGGCAGATATCGGGCAGCCCCACAAGCTCGGGGGACAGTGGGGAGGCGGAGTGCCGCCATCCCACTATTCCCCGACCTGGTTTGGAGGCTGGCGGTGGGGAGAGGCAAGCTTCTCCCCACCGCCAGCCCCACAAGCTCGGGGGACAACAGGGCAAGCCGCTGCCCCACGGAGGCTAGGGAGGCTGTCCCTGAAGGTAGAAGAGGGAGACAGAGCGCTCCATCTCCCTCTTCTAGCTTTGGGATGGCTGCGGGGGGGGGGGGGGAGGAATAATTTTTTCCCCTTGATTCACCCCCCAAAAAACTAGGTGCGCCCTATGGGGCGAAAAATACGGTATGTAAGTTTCTTTGGTTCCAGTCTGACACCAACTACATTACACTGACTCCATCTTAATTGTGGCAAAATGATCAATCACTCCCCTCTTGGGAATAAATTCCACCTCCTGGATTAGTCACAGTTCCTGAATATGTCAGCACTGACCATAGTTAATATTAACGAGGATTACATCATTAAACTTTATAAAATTCAACTGGCTGCCAAACATCATAGCTTTTTCGTCTGTGACATTGCTAAAATCAGATCCTTTCAAAACTATTCCTTCTGCTAAATTTTTAATCCAAATTCTGTTTGTTTCCTACCTTGGCTATTGCAATCACGAGTGTTTCTTACTCCTTAGTTCCTTCTTTTGAATTCCTCTTTCATCATAGGCTTTTATCTTTAAAAATTTCATGGTCTTGTTCCTGCTTATCTCTTTTCTCTAATTTCTTCTCTGCTTTTGCAACTTTGCATCTTGCGTTTGAATAATCAGGAACTAACATATTTAGTTAGTTAGGAACTAACACTAAATATTTGTGATCACTTGTACATGCTCCTGTCCCAAGAGGAGAGGTTTTGTCCCTGACTTCATGCTGAATATAGTGGTACCTCGGGTTACATACGCTTCAGGTTACATACGCTTCAGGTTACAGACTCCGCTAACCCAGAAATAGTGAGAACAGAAATCGTGCTCCGGTAGCGCGGCGGCAGCGGGAGGCCTCATTAGCTAAAGTGGTGCTTCAGGTTAAGAACAGACCCCCAGAACAAATTAAGTCCTTAACCCGAGGTACCACTGTATTTGAAATGCAGTATTGTGGGATGTGAAACACAAGAGCATCCCTAGAGTGGACATAAAAGGGGGTGTCTGGACCAGCCAGTCGGAACTTCCTGTTTCTCCTAGGCTGGGACAGACTTCCTCTGCATGTGGCTAGAGGTGGGTGTGACCTCACCTGCCCAGGTAACAAAAGAGCAGGACTGGTCTGCCATCTCTCTCTCTCTATCTCTCTGACTACATTCATTGAAGAAGCAACATCTTCTTAGCCTAAGATGCTCTCTTGGCTTCCAGCCAAGAGAGGACAAAGGAGCTGTCTCCTTATGGGATAGTTTCCAGGTGCATATTACTTTTGTAATTTAAGTCTGCCTTCTGGGATCCATTTGTGAACAGAATGTGTGAGTAAACTCTTTTTATACTTTTATAGAAGACTCTGTCATGTCTATCTTTTTATGAGGGACTAAAGGGGAAATTACCAACGAAACTTATTTTAGAGGCTTTAGCAAGCCTGAGCAAACGCATCCGCTGCACAAGCTTATAAAGGGGAATGTTACTCTGCTAAATTGTAGAACTTGTTAACACAAGTTGGAAAGGATATAATCAAACAATATATCCTCTCCTGCATCCCTGAACATTCCCATAAGCATGAGGTTGGGGACAAATGGAAAGACTTGAACATTCAGCTTAGAGTTGGTGAGGAGCAGCAGAAACACGCAAAGCTTACTTGCTCTATGTTCCTGCTTGGGGGGGGGGCTTTGATGCTCCAACTACCTGGAAGGCACAGGGACATCCCTCTGCCACCCCCTCTAGCTCATAGCCAGAGAGGAGAGGCAGAGTTAAACAATACCCTTTATAATTTTATGCAGCGATCAGCTTGTCGCTGACTCGTCTGAGTTCTACTAATAAAGATGCCTTCCTGGTTAAAAATCCCTATGAATCCCTCTTAAAGAATACACACATGAATCTGATTCATGTTAATATAAAACTATTTTACTCTCAGATTCATTCAGGTTTACAGAGCTGTACCTGAAGGCAAGCTTAGGTTACATAACAAGCAAATAAACTATACCAGAGGGAAGTTGGTGTGAAGTGACTGCAACTGAGCAAACTTTCAAAACTACCAGCAACCGACAAACTGGTTGTCACAGCAACCAGTTAGAACATGGAGGCCGTTAGTCCTCTGTCGGAATGTTGCACTTGACTGTAGCTTTAAATCCCACATACCTCTTCTCAAGCAGTACAGTGGTACCTCGGGTTACATATACTTCGGGTTACATACGCTTCAGGTTACAGACTCCGCTAACTCAGAAATATTACCTCAGGTTAAGAATCTTGCTTCAGGATAAGAACAGAAATCGTGCAGCAGTGGCGCAGTGGCAGCAGGAGGCCCCATTAGCTAAAGTGGTGCTTTAGGTTAAGAACAGTTTCAGGTTAAGAACAGGCCTCCAGAATGAATTAAGTTCTTAACCCGAGGTACTTTAATCAACCAACCAGAGTCCCAGCTTTACATATAGATTCTGGAGAGTTTCCTTTGGCAGGGGCTTTGTCAGGATGTCAGCAGTCATCTCTTTGGTGCTGCAATAAAATAGTTCCACAAGTCCACTCTGAATCATTTCATGAATGTAGTGGTACTTCACACCAATATGCTTTGTTCTTGCGTGGAACTTCTCACTCGAGATAGCTTCATGCAACTTTGATTATCCTCTAGCAGCTTAACAGGTACCTTGCTCACCAACCCAAAGTCCTTAATGAGTTGATCCAGCCAGGCAACCTCTCTGCATGCTTCTGTAGCTGCAACATACTCTGCTTCTGTGGAAGATAATGCTACACAGTTATGTTTATAACTACCCCATTAAACAAGTCCATCCCTGAACATAAACATATATCCACCTGTGGATTTATAAGCATTGTCGCCAGCCCAATCTGCATCAGTATACCCAGTCAAACTAGGATTGCTGACAGCTGGTAACCTTAATTTAGAATATATAGTACCCTTTAGATACTGCGCCACCCTTTTAACTCCTGCCCAATCATACTCAGTGGGAGCATTTACTTTTCTATTAAGTATCCCCACAGTATTGGCTGTGTCAGGTAACTAAATGCAAAAGTTTACCACTCATTGACTGATACTCATTGTTGTCTGGCAACGGGTTTGAATTCTGCTGATTCTTTAAGAATTCGGTGGCCATGGGTGTAGCAACTGTGTTTGCATCTTGCATCTGCATGCTTTCAATGAGTTCATGGATCTTTTGCCTTTGGTTGTGAAGAAATGAGCTGTCTTCTTCTCTTTCAACTTGAATCCCGAGGTAGTACTGAACTTCTCCCAGTTCCTTGACCTCCACTTCTTTGCTAAGATATTTTACAATTTGTGCATAGTCCCTTTCATTTGCTGTAGCAATAATCAAGTCATCAATAAATGTTAAAACATATGAGAATTGTCCATTACTTGACTTACTGTACAAGCACTTGTCAGCATGGCCTTCCTTGTAACCAAGCTGTGTCAGCATTCTATGCAATTTTTGGTTCCAGGCTCGAGCAGCCTGTTTGAGTCCATAAAGTCCCTTTTGCAGCTTACACACGAAATGTGCCTGATGTGGTTTTACAAAACCTTTGGGTTGATGCATATAAATGTCTTCCAAAATCTGTCCGTGGAGAAAAGCAGTAGCAATGTCAATGTGTTTCTCCTGCATTTGCTTGGAGGCTGCGATACTCAGAAGCATCCTCACGCTGCTGTATCTCACGGTAGGTGCAAAAACCTCATCTTAGCCTTCACTATATTGTTGTGAAAATCCTTGTGCTACAAGACTGGCTTTGTAGCATTGCACTTCTTCTGCCCCCTTCTTAACCTTGAATACCCATTTACCACTAATGGCCTTCTTGCTCAGTAAGAGTCCAAGTCTTGTTCTGATGCAGTGCATCCATCTCCTCCTGTGCGGCCTTCTCCCAGAGACTGGCTTGTGCACCTGGCATCTCCTCTATCTCTTCCCATGTGGAAGGTTCCTGTGGAATCTGCGACCCTGTGAAGTAGGACAATCTTATTGGTGGGACACCTTTGTTGGTTCTCGATGAGCGTCTGACCTCTGATACTGCGACCGCATCAGCTTCCTCATCCCCCTCCAACATTGACATATCTCCATCTGAATCTTCCTCTTCATCTCTGGTTCCGCCAGGAATCTGGTCCTCTGTTTCTTCTAGTGTGTTGCCTTTAGGAGGGGCTATGACACTGGAAGGCAGCTCAGGACTTTGCCGGGATATAGAAGGAAAGTACACAAGTTCTTTAATCTTTTCTGAGTCCTCAGAAAAATCCAGAACACTAGTTTTAGTATCAGCTTTGCTGTGTTCATCAAAATATACTGCATGGTGCGCATTTGTCTTACCAGTTTGTAAGTCCATAATTCTGTAAGTCCATAATTCTTGCCTCCAGAGGTGTACCCCACAAGGATACCTGCTTGTGCTCTGGAGACAAGCTTGTGTCTGTGTTCTTTGGGGACGTGGTAGTAACAGACTCTCAAACACACGTATGTGCGACAGATTGGGAACTCTCCCATGCCAAAGTTCAAAAGGTGTGCACTTTGCCCTCTTTGTTGGCAATCTGTTCTGGAGATACACTGCTGTATTCACTGCATCTGCCCACAGCTTGTGTGACAGGGATGCATCCTTTAACATGCATCTGGTCATTTCCATGATGGATCTAAACTTTCTCTCAGCTATGGAATTCTGTTGTGGTGTGTAGGCAATTGTGGTTACATGTTCAATTCCCTCCTTCGCCACAAGAGTCTGCATTTCACGTGAGCAGTACTCACCTCCATTGTCAGTCATTAGCATAGCTGGAGCTCTCTTGAACTTGTTTTTGACCATGGCTATGTATTTCTGGAACATTTCCTGTGTGTCACTCTTTTCTTTGATGAAGTACACTACACAATAATTGGAGAAATCATCAAGAAAAATCAGTATGTATCCCCCCCCAGTAAGGGAACACTCATTTGTCCACATAAGTTACGGTAGACTATATCAAGCACTTTAGTGCTTCTCTGCTCTGTGCAACGTGGAAATGAAGGTTTTACAGCTTTCTCAGTAATACAACCTATGTATCAATGTTGGAATTGTGTTGCTAGCTGTTACCTGCAGTCCTTTTGCAAGTTTATCCTTCTGTAAGTCTAGAATAAGGGACGTGGGTGGCGCTGTGGATTAAACCACAGAGCCTAGGGCTTGCCGATCAGAAGGTCGGTGGTTCGAATCCCCGCAACAGGGTGAGCTCCCGTTGCTCAGTCCCTGCTCCTGCCAACCTAGCAGTTCGAAAGCACGTCAAAGTGCAAGAAGATAAATAGGTACTGCTCTGGCGGGAAGGTAAACGGCGTTTCCGTGCGCTGCTCTGGTTCGCCAGAAGCGGCTTAGTCATGCTGGCCACATGACCTGGAAGCTGTCCGCGGACAAACGCTGGCTCCCTCGGCCGATAAAGCGAGATGAGTGCCGCAACCCCAGAGTCGGTCACGACTGGACCTAATGGTCAGGGGTCCCTTTACCTTTTTAAGTCTAGAATGACGTTGGTGTCTCTGTGTCCGAGCCTTCTATGCTACAACTGCAGGTTCACCTCATCCTTCTGGCTTGAATGGGCCACCTTTGCGGATCTCTCTGAAAGATCAGCCTCATATACACCATTTATTAGTTTAGCTTGAACAAACACTTTACCATTCTTTGCATTGTCCATTTCCAAACGTTATCTGGAAACCCTTTTTGGACACACTAATCAGATTGCAACTGAGCTGTAGAGCATACAGGACTCTTTCCACTGTGGTATGTAAAATTTGGTTGTCTATATTAAATTTGTTTTTCTTATTGTTTTCTGTTTTCTTTTTATTTTTGATGTATTGTAATTTTTTATTGTCTTGCTTTTTTCTTTTTTTGGGTAACTATTAAACTTCTAATAAATTTCATTTTAAAAAAAATACTCACGTATTAACATTCTGTAGGAGCTCTTAATGGTGTCTCCAAACATGCGCTCTATATCACTTAAAATTTGAGGTGTACTATCTTCAAAATTTATCATTGAGAGGTGTTCATCGCGAAGCCCATTCAAATGATGAATCTGGCTTTACTGTTCTTTTCTTTCCAAGCTCATATCTTGATTAAATCACCCTCACCTGTGGTTGTAGGCCAGGGGCTTTTAATAGCATCCAGGACTCCTTTTGTATCTAGGTGTGCTATTAAGCGTTGCTTCCAGTTCACAAAATTATGTTCATTTAGCACAGGCAGGCCTCGGCCTAGATCACTATCAACATCTACACTAGCCATCTCAAAAATATAAAACAGATCTTCACTGCCTTAGGTAACTGTAACCTCTGAGGGAAGGGAGGGGGTTGCTTAATTCCCACTGGATAACCAGTAAGTAAAAAAAATTTATGCAACTCTGGGCCCATAACCCATGGTGGGAAGGCTTACTTTAGCAGAGTTAAACAATCCCCATTATAAGTTTATGCAGCGATCAGCTTGTTACTGACTCATCTGAGTTCTACTAATAAAGATGCCTTCCTGGTTAAAAATCCCTTTGAATCCCTCTTAAAGAATGCACACAGAAATCTGATTCATGTTAATATAAAACTAGTTTACTCTCAGATTCATGTAGTACAGGTACAGAGCTGTACCTGAAGGCAGGCTTAGTTTACATAACATGCTAATAAACTATACCAGAGGGAAGTTGGTCCTGAGGTGACTGCAACTGAGCAGTTATCTTTCAAAACTACCAGCAACCAACAAACTGGTTGTCACAGCAACCAGTTAGAACATGGAGGCCGTTAGTCCTCTGTCGGAATGTTGCACTTGACTGTAGCTTTAAATCCCACAATATCTTGATATATCACAATGTCTGAAATAAGGGTGAACTATGTAGAGGTGAATGGGGTCAACTGTTACCTAGGCAGAGAGAGGTGGAGAGGAAGAAGCTGCCAAACCTCGTGTTGATTCGTGGACAGGGTGGAGTGGAGATGGAAAGCAGAAGAGTGAGGCGCTGGAGGGGGAACCTGCACCCCAACATCCAGATTCTCAACACAGGGCGACACAGACAAATGCATGCGCATATACACAGAAGGGTAACAGGAATTGGGAGAAGCATTGACTGGCTTCATGGATTTTCCTACCGAAGTTCTGAGGGTGCAGGAGGAGGAATGCCTCCCTGGCCAGCAGCATCCTAGTGCATTTGCTTCCCACTTGGTTGTCTCCTCTCAGCCCCTCATGATGTGGTTTGACCTGGAGCCTCGTGGTTTGAGAGGGTGGGAGTGGAAGGGGAGTGTCAAGCTGCCATCTTCAGTCCAGGTAGGGAGGAGAGGCAGCGGCAGGGGTGGGGGAGCAGCTCTGAGGTGAAGATGCACATCCGCTGAGGCTGCTGCTGCCTTCCTCCTTGGGAAATTGGGTGCCCTCCCTCAGTGCGAGGGGAAGGGATTGTGGCGCTGGGGAAGAAGGCGAGTGAGCAAAACAAAGAGATGGTGGTGCGCTGCTTGTCCTCCCCTTTTCCAAGCTTGGGTATGTGCAGTTTGGAAGAGGGAAGTCCCCTTCCCTCTACAGATTTTAATTCCAGGAGCAGTGACTCTCCCCTTCCTGCCAAGAAAAGTCTCAGTTCAGTTGAGCCACCCCCGGGAAGCTGTCAGTCCCCAATCCTTTTGTTAAAATTTCCCTCAAATTCTATTCAGATTCACCTGACAATGTATTGCCAGGTCAAAACAGGTCATAATGTGGATTCAAAACCAGTTTTGGACGATATATTGATGTATTTCCCAGCCCTAGTGGCTGGTTGAAACTGCTGAGGATGGGGGACAGAAGGATATCATGGAGAGTCTGGGACTGGGGAACAGAGAAGGATGACAGTCCTTCTCTTCTGCCCCCGCCTGGATTCAGCTCCTGCAGTTGGAATAGCAGGACTCCCATTCCCCCTCTTTCCTCCCAGGGAAAGGAGTGCAGCACTGGGATCTGGGGGAGTGAGTGTCAGCAACCCCTAGGAACAGAGGAAGCAGAGTCAGAATCGTAGGGCATAGCCTGTTCACCCAGGACCTTGTGATGCTCCCATTGTAGGGAACATCCTCCTCCTCCTCCTCCTCCTCCTCCTCCTCCTCCTCCTCCTCACTTTTAATTTGTATGCTGCCTTTCTATCTTACAATACTCAAGGCGGTTTACAAGCTGAAGAAACAAAGAATGTACACCTTATAACAATCTAATGCAACACAAAAATGTGATAATAAAACAGACACATACTGCCCAAATTCAGTGCCTTGCCCCATCTTTAAAAGCATATGGGGGTGCATGCCAACCTATTGGAATAACTCAGTTGCTCCATGCAGTTCTGAACTCCTTACCCTGTTCTTGGACTTCTTAAACAGGGCAACTGCTTCTAGCCTGGCTGGCCCCACCTTTTCTGTCATCAAACCAGAACTTAGTAGCTGCTGGGACTTATACCTGTTGCTGAGCCTGCCTCCCTTTTTTGCCTTCAGTAATCTCCCCCAACAAATGGTTTACATTTAAGACTTTCTTTTTTAATCCTCTTCCACTGAGTTTACACATAACCTCAGATAAATGAATAGTTCAAGGGACTCTGAAGTCATTTCTATATTAAGCAAAAATAATGGGTAAATAAAGCTTTGAAATTATAGCTTTCTTAGTTGGTTTCTGCTTAACACCAATTTTTTGTTGTTGTAAGAATGGGTTGAACAGCCACAATTCACATTATGTTTGGCAAGTGCAACCTACCAGGCCAAAGTGTTCTGAAGTGCACTGTACTCTGGCCTTTATTTTTAACACAGAAATCTGATGCGGTGAAAGCTGCAGGTCCCAGCGATCAGTCATCTCTTTAATCAAGCTGAAAGGCCACCGTGAAAGGCAGTTGCTGTCTGTTCTCTCTCATGCCAACTGAAGATCTAAGCATACAGTTTCAGATTCTTGCATCTTCATGGAGACTCCCAGATTTCCATTCATTGCTACCTGTATACCTCCATGTACAGTGGTACCTCGGGTTACATACGCTTCAGGTTACATACGCTTCAGATTACACACTCCGCTAACCCAGAAATAGTGCTTCAGGTTAAGAACTTTGCTTCAGCATAAGAACAGAAATCGGGCTCTGGCAGCGCGGCGGCAGCAGGAGGCCCCATTAGCTAAAGTGGTGCTTCATGTTAAGAACAGGTTCAGGTTCAGAACGGACCTCCGGAACGAATTAAGTACTTAACCCGAGGTACCACTGTAGTTGAAAAGTTAATGGGGCCTAACCAGGACTCTTGGATTGCCAATCTAGCCATACAGAGTTTGGCTGCGCAGTTTTTTGTGCATACCACATGGGATAAGTTCTTTCTCATTAACTTTAGTGTTGTTGACCAGGATAGCTGACAGCAGATTTTTCTTAATAATGTCAGGCTCTTAGCTGAATATCTGTACTTTAGAGTGCTACATAAACTAATAAATGGCTGTACTAAGAAAGGATGTAAATTAGTGTTGCAATTTAATTTACTGGTACATTTTTGTAATGATAGTTTGATTTTAGTAGCATTTCTTCTTAAAAAAACTATTTGAGATTGGAATACAACTCGATGACACAAAATTTCAGGCCAGTTCTAGTCTTACTGCAAAATTAGTAGCTTTGGGTGGCCCAGATAAGCACTACAATGTGGACGCAAACCTCATACATATCAACTCTTTTTGCACATCTTCCTTACTGAATCAGAGTTGCTGGCATCTGTTTGTCTCAAAAGACAATGGAATGAAGTCAAAGCACAGGAGAATCACAGTGCCTGCTGTGGCTGCAGAGGCTAGTAACTTGTGACTGCTGTCCCCTGCGTTCTTTTTGCTGTATTAGCAGCACTGAAGTGACCTCCCTGGAGTGCAAGCCTGGGCAGTGTTATGGAGGTCCTGGACTGGCCAGACAACAAGACTCTCAGCCTCACTGATAGGGTTCAAAGGAAAGCTTGGCTGCAGGAGTTGTTGGAAGGAGGTGTATGAGACACCATCTACCTGTCTTGGGGACTCGGATTTGTGTAGGGTTGACTCCTGAGCCTTTTCTGCTCCCAAAGATGTCTTGTAAGGCAGCAGGTACGTATTCTTCCTCAGGGTTTACTCGCATAGCCTTTCTCATGAATAAGTATAGCTGCAAGTCAGCAGAGGTTGGAGCCTCTATTTGTCTTGTTCCTCAATCCGACAAAGCCTGTCTTCACGTGGAGGGGAAGTCCCTAACTCACCAAAGGGTTTGAGACCCAGTCGAAGTCATTTCCCGCGTTGTGGCTGCTGTCATGTCATGCTTTAAACCATATTATGGTGTTATGGCTGAGTAGGGATTTGGACTCTGGCTTCCTGTTAGATATGAAAAATGGTCCATCAAGACTTTGAGTCTTCTGGATCCTTAATAAAATGACCTTGGACAAGTTGGTGAATTAGGAAAGCTTTATTATGCTTGCAAGCAGGTGACCTGGTTACACAAAGCGTCAGAGGAGGCACACAGAATCAGGAAATTATACAAGTATTTAAAGTCTCGAAGTTCATTCTCCCCCTCCCTTACAGAAAAGGTGTGGAAAGTCCCCAGCGTATCTTGTTTGTTTAATTAGCATAATAACATCCCATTTCCCTTACTAATCATTGTACAAATATGGTCACAAG